AGACTGATTAATGTATTTTATATTATTAACAATACAAAGTTATATCGTATGAAAACCATCAATATACAAACCCAAAGATATATTCGTATGTATCTATAAAAACAATCCCCTACTCCATGGAAGCAAACAGAAAGTTGAAAAAAGAGAGAAGTATGGCAATCTTAAACAACTTCCCCTCTTTAAAAAGAATAATAACTTCATTACAGAACAAGCCACTGGTAATTTCATTTACAAGTGCAATATTTCAGTGCCTATCATGAGACGTAAAATGAAATTGCAATATTATATGAACAAAAAATAAAGAAAATAAGCGAGATGTAGCAAAATCCTATCAAATATCAAATCAAAGATCAATTTCAGGTTCTACCTTTGGTGATGAATGCAGTAATATGATTAGCATGGTTAAATTGGTCCGGCTAACCCTCCGATAGGGTCACCTATGGTAAATTCACTTGAAATCACCAAGAAAAAATTGATGCCAATCAGTGAAAATAAAATATACTAAAAAATGGTAAAAAAGAAATCAAAAGTGAATGGGAATCTGTAAAGGAAAGTCTCTCAATGTGTGTCTTTGAGAGAGACATGAGAGATGGGAAGGAGATCAATGAAAAATCAAGAATGATAAAATCACAGAAGCCAATGGCATCTCTAAAAGGCTATACAATTGAGAACTCTTTACTTTTACTCTAGAATAAAACAGAGAAGTATATTTTCCCTTAGCAGTAAACGAGAAAAACAGAGTAGAATATGGATCTTATGGGTGTGATACCTTTGACAATTTGATTTTATGCTTAGTGCAGAAGCGTTGCAATCCCTCGAATAAATGTAATATAGTTATATTATATAAAATCCAAAAGTTGCAAATTTCTTTTTTCCCAAATTTGCAAAATCAAAATTTTATGAGAAATCCCAGGATATAGTTAAAAAGAAACTGACATACAAATTAAGTTTAAGAAGCAACATATAGTGGTTGTATCAGGGTATTTGCTTTTCAGCGAGTATCGATTTGTTTTGCTTCAGCTTCATGTCTCTTAAAAGACTTAAAATGGTCATACTAGGAAAATGGGAAACAAAGCAACATTCTCTCCCCTACATCTAAATAGGTTTATGAGTAAATCACCGGTTTCACTCAGCACAAAATTATGGATATTGAAACCATTCATTTAATTACTTTTGTATTTGGAAGAAATAATAAAGAGTATTTCTGAAGATCAAAATTTAATATTACCCTTTGAAAAGTAAAAGAAAAACTTCACCTGACCCCTCCGAGAGAGAACGGGCAAGGGGAGTCTCCGATATTTTGCAACAAGAAGTAACAGATCATTCATTGTAGTCAAATTGAGCTTCCTACATCAAGGTATTTAGCAGGAATTAATGTGAGATAAAAATCCAGCCAAAAGAAAATTACAACGCGTCTAGACAATCACAAATCATGTTCAGTTAGGTCCAAATGAGGATAGACCAAACTGATATATTTTTCGGTTATGTGGTGAATGCAATCCTGTTTGCTAATAGTTAAATATACCCCAAAGATTTTTCTTTCAGAAAATGCATAAAAATCTCACATTGAATATAATTTCTCATATTTATAGAGAATTACAAATGGTCAAACTTTTTAATCTTTTTTGTCAATAGAAATATCATTCAGCTCATAGATCAAACTGCACATCTTTTGTGCAAGCCGGCCACTGGTTTTAACTAATAAAACACTACAGTATTACACAGTTATCGTTACAATTAAAATGCTATTTAGTCAAATTCATTTCAATTGAAAATATTTAGTCAAATGCATTTCAATTAAAATGCCAAAACCTCATCAGAAGACTAGTCATCTAATCGGCCATTAACTTCACTAATCTTAGGTGACCGTAGCCTTCTAAAATACCCCCAGGTTGGTCCATTTTGTCACTGAATAAAGCCAACTCTCTCTATATAATGAGTAGTAGCTTCATTATGCATACACCAACCACCAAGATAGTCCATGAATATTTTCTGAATTGGAATGAATAAAACACAATTGAAAGCCTCTAGATATGGGGAACAAAAGGGGATTCTTTTTATTTCTATTCAACGCCGAAATCATGTTTATCCAATTGAAAGTCGGAAAGTTAAATCGTATTCTATGTGGTTAGTAAAAATTTAATCTTTATTCTGTTTAGGATAATCTTCAGTTAATCCACCTTTAATATTTTACTTGCCAGAGATAATACAGACCCAAGTTAGTCTTATCCTGTAGATCATTTAGTAACGGGTGCAGATACTTCCAATGCATCAAGTGAGGAAGAGATCATTTATACTTGCAAAAGATCAAATCTTTGCCTGCTTGCTTTCAAGAAGCTCAATTTTCATTCCTGGAAATTAATCAGCAATAAAGAGATCCATGAATAACTCAGATGGCAATTCTATTCAGCTAATCAGTTGAAATTAAATTTAAAGCACTGTGACAGCTTATCAAGCTAGATACTATCTGATGGATTAAATTAATGTCATACTCAATCCGATTACGATTAGAACTCACTTCACTTACATGCATAATATTAGTAAAAGTATCAATCAAAATACATTTGCTCTGATGCAAGTCATGTAGTAACAGTAATTTTCATCTATTGAACTTCCTCAATGAAATTCCCCAAACTTTAGCAAGCATACGAACACAAATGAGCATCATAGGTTTCTGACTCAATCCTTGCTCACACTCAGTTCATTCTTACGCATGAAAGTCATCTAACAGACGACAGAGACAAACTTCATGAATTTTTTGAATTGTCAATACCTCTTATCTGCTTTCACTTAAAGACATTTACCCAATATTTGAGAAGTAATGGGATGTGAAGATTAAAATCATGTCATGCATAAAACTTATAAAATATTTTGAGGTTCGATTGATGCAGTGCACCTAGTGATATTTTCCACAATTACCATTTTTCTCCTTTTTGTTTATGTAGTATTTCTTTCAAATATTCTTCAGTTTCCTTGTTGGTTTAAGGGAAATCATCGATGAAAACTCTAATATGCTTCTCTCTTCGTATTCAATGCTCAAAAAAACTTCATGATATCTTCATATTATTAAAAATGAATGTGATGGTTTTTATTTAATCTAAATAGAAGTTAATCATTGAATCTGAAGAAGCCATGAATGTATGAATCATAAGATCTGAAAAGCAGCTGTTGCACGTGTAACTGTACAAGTAAAATTCTCATGTCAAAGACAAGATATGTTATACATCATTTACAATCAACTTTGATGTTTGCCTCTGCTCATCTAGGTTTTATGACTTTGCAGCATTGAAATCTCAAGCAAAAGATATGGAAGCTAAGAAAAACTATCAAAATTAAATTCCAATAATATATTATTAAGCCTAACATCAAAGCTGATACCATAGCCAAAAACCTCACAAAATTATAAGTACAGAAAAGAAAAGACTTCAAAGGAATTGATCAAACTTTGTGAAATTTGAATATTGAGATCTATCAAAACAAAAAGCATAGATATCTTCACAGCATATGAAAGAGTTTATATTTCAACAGTTTTCACTCCCAGGATCTAATGGTCATCAATAAACATTCAATAAAGAACCTTCCCCACCTTTCCTAATTATCACATGAACATAGTTGAATACAACAGATCAATTTTTCTTACTTATTTCAACCGGGCAGCGAAATTTCAGTAACTAAGAAAAAGGAGAAGGGTTGGATAGATATATCATCATCCCCAATGCTTTCATCTCTCTTGTTTGTTGCACATTCTTCAAAAAATACTATTCAAAACTTTTTAACTTTCCAAATAATGGATAACAATCAAGGGGCATAAGCAAAAACGAACACAACAATGTTGTATGACATCTAATTCTAAGTCAACAAGACAACATATATACACTTCTATATGCTTTATCATTTTCATCTAAATCCTAAACCTAAAGAAACTCGTTATCGAGTCTAAAATAACTAATAATATATTTAGACGGGAAAGTTCATTATAGTATCAAATCATTTAAATGATGTCACGTCAAATTATCGACGTCCAATTTAAAAAATTTCGCCTATCATATTATTATAAAGCATGTTAAATTGATAAATATATAATTAGTAAATTTCCTCCACTTCAATTGACAAAAAATCAATTAAAGGTGCGTTTGATTGTAAATATAGAATTTGTATGGGAAAAAATAAATTTTAGGTAATTCAATTGCCTAGAACTTATTTGTATGAAAATTATCAATTAAATGTATTTGATTGATTTAACTTTCAACCTACAAAATATTATACTTGTTCGATTTCTATTGGTGGGTAAGTAAGAGAGAGTTGATAAATGAGATAGAGAAAGAGTGAGTAAATTTCCCAAAAAATAAAATCCTACTCCCCCGAAAAAAGTATTTTCCTTGATTTTGAGGAAAATATGATCACATGATCAAAATTAGAAAAATATTTTTTATGGAAAAAAATGTCGGTTATACAACGCAAAAGTTAGAATTTGAGTGAAAAAAACATATTTTTCATGAAAAATATTGATAATCAAACAAATTGTTTTTCAATTTTATTATTGTTTGTACTATAGTTGACCTTCAAGCGAATCAAGCCATAGCTTTTAATGGCATCTCATCACATAATTTTGATCAACTAATCAGTAAAACTATCCAAAATGACGGTGCTCAACTGACATGGATTTGTTCTCAATTCGTTTAAAGCATCTTCAAGAGTTCATATTATAGAACATATTTAAATTTAAAAAGTCAATTAAAATCAATTTTTTAATTTGTATTTCGCTATTACAGAAGTTATTTTTAAATTCTTCTCTCACAAATAGGACTAATTTACTTAAGTCAAAAAATTAATTATCTTTTTTAAAAATAAATTTTAGATTAGTAGGTTAATGAAAAATGTATACTTAAAAAATAAGAAAAAAATTGGTGCGTAATATTATTTTATTGAAAATGCGAGAAAATTGAAAATGCGAGAAAAAAATATATTTGGAAATAAAAGGGCGTATGAACAGCATATATATTAGAAGACCCCTATAAAAATCATATACATACAGATTCTTGTGTATATTTTCTCTGTGCTTGGGCCAAAATAATGAATAATCAAGGTAAAGAAGATTATGGCGATATTGGAAGCGAGGATTTTCCGGATGAGTTTCAGTGTTGTGTATGCTTGTAAGTATTTGCGATGGATTTTTTTTTTTTTTTTTAATTCTATTTTTCAGCAAACAAGTTACGCATATGAAAGCCTGTATGAATGATTTTCTGTTGGTTGGTTTGTTATTAATTGGATTTTACGAATATCTTATAATCAGAAGAAGGATACGGCAATAGGGTATATGTCTTTGTCTGTGGAATTGTAGATGCGTGAGCAAACACACGCCAAGAATTGGAATTGGCAGCATGTCAATTAGGGTTTGGGAACATTAATGAAATTTTCTGTCAAGCATTGATTTTTTTTTTTTTTTTTTTTTTTTCTTTCAGGGATATCATGTACAAACCAGTTGTATTAGGTAATACACTGTTACAAATACTACCGATTTCATAGCTATTTTTGTTGTCGAATCTATTCATTCCTTTCCCTGTATGCAGCCTGTGGTCACATATCTTGCTTCTGGTGTGTTTTCAAAGCTATGGATTCTTTCCGGGAGTCACACTGTCCAATTTGTCGCAACCCATATAATCATTTTCCCAGTATTTGTAGATTGCTACACTTCTTGCTTCTGAAATTATATCCATCAGCCTACAAAAGAAGGGAAAGACAAGTTGCAGGTATGAATCATTCCATATCTTAGTCCTACTATTTTATGAATTTACACATACCATGTATATCTATATGTTGGAGCACGGAAACACCGCCCGTTAGTCCTAATGTAGTAACTGCCTATATTGCCTCCACTATAAGCAGTTGCACCAGCTCAAAAGGTTGACAGGCTTGAAAATTTTCAGTAGAAGCAGGCGCTCCATTAGTTATCTTATCTAATAGATATATTGGTTCTTAATTTCCCGCCTTACTCTGAGGTAGAGACATCTCCCCTGCCAAAGAATGTAAGCAAAAAAATAGAAATTAACCTCCCTTTTCTTTTCTGATAGACCAATCATTCCCTGAAAAAAATATTGATAAAAGAGTGGGAGGGGCTGTCAAGGTGTTGTAACAAATGGAAAATCCTGAATTGATATGATTTCTATTGTGTGTTGGCTTTTAGCAGCTCCCTTTTGACCATCTTTCTTCACATAAACTTCTAAAGGAGCCTTTTTTATTTCCTTATATTCAACTCTTCCTCAAATCAAACCTTTTTTTTTCATCTACTTGGAGGGGAATCACCATTGCCTTCGTATTATGTGAATCAACTCTCTATGTTTAATGATATGATCACTAACCTTTTGTTGGCTCTGATAATTTTATTCTGGGCAAGTATTACCTGTTTTATAATTAATGAAAAGGAAGGACCTGTTTTGTCTTTGTTTCTTTGCGCTTGATATGAAAGTAACTGAGGACATTTAGACTGAGTTGTCAGAGGAGAAGTGAGGTGAACCACGGAAGAGTTGATTTTATTGTAACTTAGATTTCTTTGGAAGGGGACAGACTATGAGAATCTCACCGCTGGAATATTTGGTTTCTATGATTTAACTGATGAGGCGTGGCTCTTGAGCATTCATTTTGAAAGTGCTATTTTTTGCTGCGGTAATAATAATTTAAGTATTGCACTTGGTCTCTGATCTAAAGTTTCATGGGGTGGGATGTTCATGAGACATTTGTCAACTCAATGCAGATAATCATGCTGGAAATGCTCCGTAACATATTCCTTTCTATATGACGAGGAGGAAAATCCAATTTATCACTGCAAAGGCGTGGCTATGCAAGCATGTGTTTGTTGACTTGGTGAAGTATTAGTGGACTGCCAATAATGTAACTTGGGTATTATTGGAATCTAAATTGATTCCTAAGTGGTCTACTACTAGAAAGCTACACTCTTATCTCAACCAAAATTTTCATTCCAAATGCCTAATATTTATTAGGTAGAGGCATTGTGATGCAGCACCAATAGAAATATTCAATGGAGAATGAGAAAACCAATTAACAGGAAGAAGAAATCTAGGGAAGAGATGGTAGAAGAAGAACCAATAGAAGAACCACTAGAAGAAAGATGGAGAGAAAAGGGAAATTTGCCACAAGCCACCAAAATAATGTTTCAATTTTCAGTTATCAACATATAAATAGCAAAAAAATCAAATATTTACGGGCTTAGGCCAGACCCATTAATCAAGTCCAATGAAATAAAAGACATCAATATATAAAACACAGAGTAAAATAATTGGGCCGATGTTCGCATCAACTCTCACAGGGTGGGAGAAAAACTCAACTCTGTCAAGTGGTTGAACTACTGCGGTGGACAATCCTTCTGACGAACCAAATATCAGAACTCAACAAATGATAACAAAGCCATGTGCAAATTATCCCCAAGCATATGATATGACCAAGATGATCTGGTTAAAGGAAGATCTTACTGACTCCTATAAAATTCCAATGAATCTGGATCACGTTGTTGATGTCTCGTTCTGGGGATTCATGTACCATCAGAATCAATCAAGTCGGTCCACCCAATGGACAAGAAAGCACTAAATCTCTCTATCATTGGTCAACACAATTTGATCATCTAAAATAACATCAATTTTATCTTTGTGTGCTATGATTAGTGGTATTGGAGTAGACATAGTAAAAGATTTAGTGTAGGAATTTCCATGTAGAGGTAGAAAATAATTATCAGAGGGGTTAAAATAGCCTTTGTAAGCGACGAAGTCCTTAACAGTTAAAATAGAGTGGTGGCCAAAATGTGATAAAAGATCAATGACACGTTTATTTGAACCAACATGTTTTAAAATTTCATAAGGAGCAGCACTACAAGCTTGCAATATAACATAATACCCAATATTAAATTCAAAATTTCGCTTATGCAAATCAGCTTGAAGTTGATATAATGCATTACTTGCTTCAAATTGTTTATTGATCTCAATATGCAAGTTATGAAGATGTGATACAACTACTTCAACTGACACACATGGGAATAAGGTCTAAGGTTTTCCTAGGTTCATAACCATGAATAACTTCAAAAAGACTTGTACTTATAGACCGATTTATAAAATTGTTATATGTAATTTGCATTGGTGGGATGATCAAATTTCAGTTCCCAAGATTTTCCTTGAAAAGGGCATGATTACACTAATCGTCAGTACCTTTGGGTTGGATAAGAGAGTGACACAACGTTTGATTGAAAGGTATCGGGAACATGGGATACAATACCTAGATTCATAGGAAAAGTCCATATACTATCTAAGGAGGTGTTCTTAGTATCATTCAAGTCATCAAATTCTTCAAATTTAGGTTCACAGATTTGATCTTATAATCGCTCATATCTTATATTCTTTTGTTCTTCAATGACTAAAG